GTTGGAAAAGTGGGGGTCGTCTTGTACATGGGGGCGTCTTATTGACGGAAAAATACGGTAGTTTTTCTCTGAAACCTAATCACCATCTTAGACAGGCCTACTAATTCTTCATGCTTCATCTTTAGAAACCGAAACCTTTCTTTAAGCCTAACAGCCATCCATGGTGTTTTTTTTTCCTGCTGTTGTGTGTTCTTAATCAGTTCTAAGGAACAGAGATTTCTAGTGCTAGTTTGTTTCTCGGGGGGCTGTAATCTGGTAATATGGCTCAGAAGGCCCAAGCCTCTCCAGACTGACTACCTGATACTGAGCTTAAGGTGTCTTTATGTTCTTAAGGCTGCAGAAGGGAGAAGGGATTTTCTTTCTTTGGGCCTTACTCTTGAAACTCTGTGGAAAAGAAACAAGGTGTGCAGCAAATGGCAGCTGAAACTGCCATATCAGCCCTGCTCTGGTTGGGTAGGGCAGATCCTGTGGGAATGATAGTTTCGGCTTCATATCATTTCAGCTGTGTCTAAACAATGAAGGTATGATATCATTCCACAGGTATTATGTAAATCCTGCAAACTATTAACAGAAATAATAGTAAATGGCAAAATCCAAGCAAGGATTTAGTTATTTTGGAATTGCCCTTCCTCATTCACTGAATTTCACAGCAGGTGAATATATAATATAGTCTTCTATTTTTTCTTTCAATGTTTTTCAGTCATTTCCATTTTCTCCTTACCTCACAAATTATGTTAAGGAGGGAAACGTGAAATGAAATAACTGCATAATACTTCTTCATGCATATGTCCAGGAGGTGTCTATTTGGGACCATCAGACATATGAAATGAATGCAAAATAAAAATTGGATAACAAATACGGAAATCCCAAAAGAACTCTGGGATGCTGAAGAAAGGTAACTAAAGCCAGAAGCAAATTTTCCAAGGAATTCTGCTGCCAAATATTCTTCCTTTTAAAATATCTTGCACTGAACTCTATTCTCTTTCCATAAAGTAAGACACTTCAACCTGCTGTAACAGTTGATGAATTTTTGTCTAAACAATTTCTCCCCTATTTTGTTTTTGTGGGTACAGAGGAAATATTATTTTTATTTTATAAATATTCTAGTAGCATGGGAAAAAGTGCCTACATCCTGGTTTTTTTACATATCAAAAACAGTAATTTTATTTTTCTAAATCTAAATCATTGCTGTAATTATGTCTGCACCCCATCTATTACAAGGAAAATATCTATGAATTCAGTGGAAACTAATTCTCATTTCCACTGAATTTTTATTAGCATAAGTCAGTCCAATTTAAATGAAAATAATTTATGGTTAGGCTGACTTTTCCCACATTTACAGAAAATTAGTAATGTTACTTGCTCAAGCAACAGTACTTTAAAGAGCCAAATATATTTATTTTTTTAGAAAGCTTTTACTTATTAATTGGGATCCTGTTTCTCTTTAGATAAAATTTTAAAGCAGGTCACAGGACAGACCTTGTTTTTTCTTCTGCGTCCTGTGGTGGACCCTTCCAGAAATCTGCCTCCGAGGGACCATCTTCCTGATTGTCACTATCTGAGTCTGTTAAACAAGATAACAGTGTATAAAATAAAGTGATTTTAAGGGCATTTTCACACTTTAAGCTAGACTTCTTTAACAAGTTTTAAGAAAAAACATACAGCACTAAAAATAAAATGGGAAATAATTCATACATAATTCAGTTAAGCAGATATTCCTGATCACTAACCATTGGAATTATTATTTATAATAGTGACAAATCAGGAACATAAAAAAACATGTTCATGGATACACTGCAATTTTGTTTCTATATTAAGAGAGGTTTAGTGTAGTGGTAAAAGATGCTGGTTAAAAACCCAGACCATGACTTCTAGTCCCTCCTTTGGCACAAAGCCAGCTGGGTGACCTTGGGCCAGTCACTCTCAGCCTTAGGAAGGAGGCCATGGCAAACCACTTCTGGAAATGTTGCCAAGAAAACTGCAGGGACTTATCCATGTAGCCACCAAGAGTCAAGGGTAGCTTGAAGGTGTACATGCACATACCCACAGTTTATATTGTAGTGTTGTGACATTACCCTATTTTAAATGATACTTATCATACCTCTTTTGACCAAACCAGCCCTTTACAAAAAGGGTGGGTCTTTCCCAGATTCAGGTAAGATTTTATGGACAGAACTGGCTTCATCAAAGTGCGGATGGGATCACCCCCTCCCTGAAAGAGGAATTAACCACCGCCCAGACCCAATCATGCGTCCTCTTCTGGGCAGCTTTGACCAGCCGGGAGGGGCACGGATCTAGCATAGAAGTGGCTGAACTAACAACAAGAACCCTGTCCACTTCCTCAGGTTCAACAGGCTCGAACTCCTCCCAGATAACCCTGCAAGACTTAGTCCTGTGACCTCTACTGGCCCTGCATCCAGGCTGGAATTCAATGGAGAGCAAATCCAAGTGACTTTATCTGCCAGATGCTCAGCATATTCCTCACAGTGACCCTGAAGCTGGACCCCAGAATTAATCCAAGGAGGGTCTGGGTCACCTGAAACAGGTCCACTGGGCGGCTATCTCA